CGGCTTCCATCCTCGATTAGAACTGGCAGGGATCCATTAAAAATGAGCTCCAATCCCTCATCACCAATAACACTTGGTATCTTACTCCCCTTCCTCCTGATAAACGTGCCATAGGCTGAAAGTGGGTTTTAAACTAAAATTCCTAGCTAATGGCACCATTGAGAGGTATAAATCTCACCTTATAGCCAAAGGATTCAAACAAATCAAAGGGTAAGATTATCATGACACGTTTACCCCTGTTATAAAAATGACCACCATAAGATTTATTTTATCCAAAGCCTCTTCCAAAAATTGGGTTTTCCATCAACTTGATATTAACACAACTTTTTTACATGATGATTTAGATGAAGAAGTCTATATGAAAACTCCCCATGGGCTAAAAGTTTCAAATAAAAATCTTGTTTGCAAGCTTAATCATTCCATCTACAGTCTAAAACAAGCTAGTAGGCAATGGAACCATAATTTAACTAATACTATTATTTCTCTAGGATTTTTGCAGTCCAAATCTAACTACTCCTTATTTATTGAGAAAAATGATAATTATTTTATGTCTATTATTGTCTATGTTGATGACTTGATCCTTGCATGTAACGATCTACAAGAGATCAATAATATAAAGCAAGTATTGGACAACACCTTTAGCATTAAAGAATTGCGGAATCTTAAGTATTTCCTAGGTTTTAAAGTTTCTAGTAATAAACATAATATCTCCCTCTGTCAGCATAAATATAGATTTGACCTTCTTTAGGAAATAGGGCTCCTAGATGTTAAACTAACCAGCACACCCATGGACCCTCACCATAACTTACATTCTGACTTCTCTCTTACTCTCTTTGATCCGAAAAAATTCAGGAGCCCTATCGGTAAACTTATTTATCTCACTCACTCGCGCCCTGATATTATTTTTTCTGTCAGCAGGCTCAGCTAACCTCTTTCTGCACCAACAGAACTACACTTCTAGGATGCTTTAAGAATTTTTCGCTACATCAAGGTCACGCCAGCTCTAGGATTTCACTTCAAAAGAAACTCATATTTGACTCTCACGGGTTTCTCTGACTCTAACTGGAGAGCTTACCCCATAACCCACCGTACAATAACTGGTTTTTGTTTTTTTCCTGGGAAACTCTCTCATTTCCCAGTAAAAAACAACACACTGTTTCTCGATCTTCATCTAAAGCAGAATACAAAGTCGTCTGGTTACAATACCTTCTTCATAATTTCAACATCAACATCACCAAACCCATTACAATTTATTGTGACAAACAAAGCACAATTCAAATTGCTACCAATCCAGTTTTTCACGAAAGACTAAACATATAGAGATGGATTGTCTTATGTGTTAATTCTTTGTATTTATAATTGGCAGTAATTTTGGTAAAACTAAATTGGTAGCAACGTGTTAAACAAGATGTCATATCACAAAGTCTCAACATCTTGTCTGTTACAGTTTTTCAGACTGGATTCATTTGGTTTAATTACAGATTACTGAATATTATGATAACATTAAGTAACATATATGGCGTCCAAGATTGAGGAATCATAGATTCTGTTTGAGTTTAAAGTTATTATGTTTTTCTAAATGTTGAGACATTTTAGGAAACCCTTGATTGAATACCTATTTTTATGCAGAAGATTCTACAGACTTTTAGCAGCTACCTTGCTGCGTTTTTTAAGCCTAAATCTAGTCCAGACAATGTTTATAAATAGAAGGCCACAAACCTAATTCATGTATGGAATGTGTATTGTTGCTTAATGATTTTTTAGGGTTTGTGTGTTCATGTTAATTGTTAGCCTCTATAATATCATCTTGGTATAAGAGAAGGATTATCTCTATTGAGTTCTGAGTTCTGTTAATCACTCTTAAGCTTTTAAGCATTGAGTGATTGTGTGTCTTTGAAGTGTAACTTCTGAAACGATTCAAAATGTTATTGTTTCATCATTGATGTGATTGAAAGGGAAGTGAGAGGGGTCGCATACCTAGATGAGTCTTAGGTATAAGTTATGCACAAGTAGTGATTAGGTGCGTAGATTGTAAATTGGAGATAGTTTGCTGAAGGTCTACAAACTAATACTATTTAGTGGATTTCCTCCCTATCTTGGTAGCCCTCATACTTAAGTATTGTTATACACCAAACTGGGTTAACAACTTTGTATATTCTTTTACTTTCAATATTCTTAACTATGTTTAGTTTGTCATTATGTTTTGATCAGATATCAGTGTCTCGACATCTCTTAGGATATTTGATATCCGCATACAATAATTTCAATTGGTATCAGAGCTAGAATCTTGCTCTGTATTTGGGTGAGATTCATGGAAGATACTTTCTGGTACAATGGACACAGAAGGAGGATTTTTTAACAGGTCACCCATTTTTAATGGAACCAACTATGACTATTGGAAAGCTCGTATGGTGGTTTTATTAAATCCATGGGCATCAAGGCTTGGAAATCTGTTGTCAAGGGATGGCATCCACTAATGGCTAGAGATAAGGATGGGAAGATTACTGATGTGCTGAAGGTTGAGGAAAACTGTGATGATGAAGATGATAAATTAGCTCAGGGAAACTCCAAAGCATTGAATGCCTCATTTAATAGAGTGGAAAAGAACATCTCAGACTATTAAATAGTTGTACTATTGCTAAAGAATCTTGGGAGATCTTGAAAACTGCTCATGAAGGAACCTTTAAGGTGAAGATGTCAAGACATCAACTTCTTACCACCAATTTTGAAAACTTAAGAATGAAGAAGGATGAGAGCATTCATGACTTTCACATGAATATGCTCAAGTGCCCTGGGGGAAATATATCAGAAGCTAAGTTGAACAGAAAAATTCTTAGATCTCTTCCAATGAGGTTTGACATGAAGGTAACTTCCATTGAAGAAGCCCAAGATATAATCAACATGAAGGTTGATGAACTTATGGGATCTCTACAGACCTTTGAATTAGGGATTAGTAAAAAGTTTGAAAAGAAGAAAAACATTGCATTTGTCTCTAATGCTGAAGACTTAGTAGATGAATGTGACCTGGATACAAATGAAGGGATATTTAATGATATTGTGTTACTTGGAAGACAATTCAACAAAATGATGAAGAATATGGGCTAGAAGTCAAGATCAAATGTCAAGAACAAGTCTCTTGACATCAAGAAAAATTAGGATTTTGGGAGAAGGCCCATAACTGAATAAAAAACTAACCAAGGAAAAGGAATTCAATGTCATGGATGTGAAGGTTTTGGACACATAAGAGCTGAGTGTCACACTTATCTCAAGAAGCATAAGAAAGGTCTATTTGCGTCATGGTTAGAAGATGATTCTTAAAGTGATCCTGAAGAGGAATCTGCCAAACAGGTTACTACCTTGACTGGAATTTGTGATTCTGATGAAGAATCAGATTGTGAAGAACTGACTTTTGAGGAAATTACTTTTTCATAAAATGAGTCGTGCCTCAGAAGTGAAGAAGTATGTAAATTGGGAGAAGATCAAAATAAAGTTATTGCTCAATTACAGGCTGAAATGTGGAGCATTTGTCTATTATCTCTGATTTGAAGGATGAAGTTGTATTGCTTAATTAAAAACTTGATAATATGACTAAGTTTGTAAGAATGTTTAACAACAATTCTGATGTGTTGGATGAGATTCTTCAAACTTAAATAATGACAGCTGTCATACCTCAATTTTTCCTCTAAGATCACTTATCACATCATATACATCTCATGTATATCATCGATTCCATGGTTACGTGATCAAAGGACTTTTGGCATTAGAGTTTTTCTCTATGAATTGAGGTTGTTACCTTCCTCATGTTGATTCATCTGGTGCTCTCATCACTCTTGGTATAAAACCAGGGTTTTTGATCTACAAGCATCATGAATATTTTCCTTGGCAAGATTCCTCAAGATACAAAGTTTTCTTCATCAGAATTTTCTTCGAAGAACAAGTGCATTAAGTTTTAACATGTGTGCTTAAGATTTCATCATGACTTCATTGAGAGTGTTCTTGAGTTAGAGTTTTGCTCCTCTCAATATTTCTTCATCAATATGCATTCAGAGCCAAAGAACTAGGGTTTCTCATATGCTATGCTTGAATATTAATATTTGGTTATTCAAACAATGGTTCATTGTGCTAGGTTTTCTCCTTAAGGTTACAAGGATCATCATTCTCTCTATTGCAAGCTCATCATTATTTAGGGCTTCTCCTAACTGCTGGTTCCACAAGACTTTCTTTCTCAAGGAGTTTAGAGGATTTAATCAATGACTTCTTTTTTTGTGATGTTACTTGTCAACTAGTTAAAGAATGATTGAGGTTTTCATCAAGTCGAGATGTTTCTTGTTATTTAAGCTATGAATTAAGATTTCATCAACATTTTAAATAGGATTGATTCTTCAATCTTGATCTAATTGAAGATTGAGGTTCATTGAACTAGAATATTCATATTGAGATTATTTTGGTCATATTTCTCTCCAAGGCATTTATGTTCTCAAATTCTTTTGCTGGTAGTGCAAGTTTTTAATTTGGAAGTGTTCATTCAATTTCTTAATGTTGAATATGTCATGTGGTTTAATTGATTACAAGTTCAAAGGACTTCATTTCAAGTCCCCAAAAGATCTAAATTTTTCAAAAGGGTCAAAGTTGGTCAAGTATACTAAAAAATAGAAATTCAATCCATGATTAGTTTCTTGGAACACAAATTATAAAGGCATACCACTTTGGTTCATTTAAAATTCGAGGTTTCAAAGATATTGATCATCAATCAAGGTTTCAAGTTAATTCTGGTTCAAGCGTCCATTGTTCAAGTTCAAAATTCACTTATGTGGAGAACTTTGAGGCATATGACATAATTGTGTCAAGAGTGAAAATTCAAAACTCAAGAATTATTCCACTCCAAGTTCAATCTCAAAAAGTCCAATTATTCATGTTATTTAAAGCATTTATTTCATTCAATTTGAAGTCCATACAAATGTTCATATTGGAATGTTTACAAGCAAGGAAACCAAAAAAATTCATTTGTCAAAACTTATGCCATTTGCCTTAAACCATTTGTAAAAAGAGATCAGTCCACGTCCAAGTAGCGCAATGCTTTCCACAAACTCTTGACCAAGCTTGCAAACCAATTCAAAAAGGTGTCCCAAAGAGAATGTCACCTGAATAAAAAAAAGCATTTCACCAATTGGGTCAAATAAAATACTCAAAACAAATGCAAGTTGTCTGTCAAATTCAAGTTGCATTACGCATGTGTTACTTACTTTTTTCGAACTAAAGCTGAAACTGTTCAGAATTCCTTTGCAATCCAACATGAAATAGACGGGTTGCACTAAAAAAAAATCAAGGAGAGTGAAACTCAAATTAAATCAGAAACAACTATAACACGTTCAACTGATTTTCTAACTGAATAGATAACTGTCACAACAGAATTTTTTGGGCCCTCTAACTGTCATAACGAAAAAATCCAAACCATCTATTTCTCTAACCACTTTTTCAATCAAGGGTTGAGATTGATTCTAATCTCTAACCAACTCTTATAGATTCAAGAAAGCTATAAGAGAAATCATACAGGAATTGAGCGGGGGATTCATTATCGAGAAGATAACAAAAAAATTTCAAAGACTCACCTCTGAATCTCTCTGAGATTTTTCAGAAGAATTCTCATCTTCCCCTTCAAGATTCTCAAAAACCTTCCATTCTAATTCCGATCTTCAAGCTTATTATGAAACGTCATCTTCCTATTCCCTAAAGCTTCAACAATTTTCGTTCTTCTTCAATGTTTCGATCTTCATCTTCATATGCTTCAAGGCTTCGTCATTGAATCGTCGTCTTCCATTTGTCCTGTGAGTCCTCGTCATCCACGATTCAGCATGTGAGTCGTATCGCAGCCAGCAGAATATCTCTGCAAGAACGGAAACAAAGTCGAGATATCAAAATTCACTGAGAATCGCAACAGAAGACGCAAATAGAAGCAATCACGAAGAAGTAGAAGAATATTACGTACTCGATTCAGACTCCTCTCTGGTTTTCTATTCACACTACTCCAAACGGCTTTGCAAGTAAGCCGTTGAAAATTCTATTGCTTCGTCTTCTTTTCATTTCATTAGTATACCGTTCAAATCTAAGTTGGTTGGCGGTGCTTCGAGGCCGGAGATGATGATGGATGAGCGGCGGGGTAATGATGATTGAGAGGTGTCGTCGCGATGAAGAAGGAGTTGAATCGAAGGAGAAGGAGGTCGCCGGAGTTGAAAGACAGATGCAAAGTGTTCGTTGACGAAGAGGGACCGAATCGGAGATAAGGATGAGGTTTGATTTGAGATGATGGATCAGAGAGAAGGAGGCGTCGCGGGTGAGATGAGGAAGAAGAATAGAGGACAGGACGGGAAGTTGAAGACGACGGAGTATGATCCTTTGTGGTGGAGCTACGGCGTTGGAAGATCGGATGTGATGAGGAAGGTAGTCGTCGTTAAGTGTTGAGAGAAAGGGAGAGTTCGTATGCTTAGAGAAGCTGAAACATCACAAAGATTTAACCCTAATCCCTTTCTCTTTTTTTTACAATTGATTTATTTAATTATTTTTTATAATAATAAAACGTGGACTAGATGTGGTGTTGTTGGACTGTCCTTAGGCCTGTTTTTGTTTTTTATGCTAGATAATTGAATAAAAAAATTCGTTAGACCTTAGCGTTTTTTTTTTGGAGGCCGTTGTTACAATAAAAAGACTCCTGGGCCTTAGGCTCAGCGCCCAGTCTATTACCGGCATTCTTGATTTTCACATTAACAAACCCCCTGACTTTCCTAATTTCTTGTTTTTTTTTTTTTACTTTTCTTTTAGTTTAAATTTCTTCCAATTTTATTATTAAAAAAAATTGTGATAAAAAATATACATATAATGAAACAATAAAAAAATTTTAGAATTTATGACTTCCTCTTAAAAAAAATTTAAATAAAAAACTACAAAATCAATAAAATTTGTTAGATATTTTTATTTGATTTTAGGAATTAATTCACGATCTTTCGATTACTTGAGACTTGTGATTCACTTCTGCTTGTCGAGATTTGAGTTTTATGCAGGTTTAGTGTGTGATATGCAGACATGCTTGAGTTTCCGATTATGCTTTATTTTCACATCGATGATGCTCCGACACTATTTTCGAGCATTCGATCTCTGACTGTTTGTTGATGCCAGCTCGCGTGAAGTATTCCGGGTTTCTTTTCTTTGGTTGTGCTTTTTGCAGATATTATTGTTCATTTGGTATTATACTGCTTTCAGTTTATCTCTCCATATTTTATTGCTTTCTAGATATCATGAGAAGTAGGAAATAAAGAGTGTGCGCTTGAAGTCGTTGTTTAAAGACCTGTAGTAGGCATTCCGCACTTGTTTGATAACTGTGTTTGTGTTTGTTTTCATGGGTTGATGATCGATGATATCACTCAATTACCAAAAACTTGGCTCATGTGTTTGTGTTTGTTTTCATGGGTTGCACCATTATCCATTGTTGTTCTTACACCTACTCAGAAGAAAGCAAGACCATTTTCTTCAAAGAATGTCAGGTCTTCTGGTAAGTCATCTTTTTTAGATTCTACAATCCCTAGTAAAGATAAGTCTTATGATGAAAAGGGGTCTAAGTCAAAAGATCCAGAGAAGAAGAACCCTATTGAGTCAACTATTGTTGATGAGAATCTAACTGGAGATGAAAATATTAACATTGATAAAAACCTTAGGAAGTTTGTTACCTCTGTCTTGAAGTGGGTTCAAATGTTTTTCTAGATGTTCAAACATCTTTAGCAAAAGAAACTAGCCCTGATGGTAATTCTAGTGAAAAGGTTGATGATTGTGTCCCTGAGCAAGTTTCTCATGAAAAAAGGAGTAAGAAGAAGGACAATGATGTTGTCAATGTTGATGACCTAACATTTGATGAGGAACCTATTACCAAAAACTTGGCTCCTGGAATAGACAAGATACTTCAGAGAAGAAAATGAGAGGATGTCATGTTTGAAGATTAACTTTCTAAGGAGATAGAAGGAAATTTTGGTGATATGAAAAGCACTCCCTCTAGAAGTTTCAAACGAAAATATCAGGTTGGTCCTGATAGATCATGGAGTAAAGTCGTTATCCCTACGAGGAAGAGGAAAGTTATTTCTTCAAGTAAATTTGAGATTGGAGATGAAGAGGATGTCCAAGACATCATTCCCATAAGAAAGTTTGCTTCAAAGAATAATTGTGTTGTTGTTCCCTATGTTCCACTGGACAATGTGTCTTTTCATCCCGAGCAGAATGATGAAAGATGGAAGTATGTTTACCAAAGGAGGATAGCTTTGAAGAGGGAATTGTGTAAGGATGTTCTAAAATGTAAGGAGGTTGAGGAGCTTATAGAGGTTTCTGGTTTGATGAAAACTGTCGAAAATTTTGGACCTTGCTATGAAAGGTTGGTCAAGGAGTTTGTTGGGAATATATCTGACGGATGTGATGATATGTGAAATTCTAGTTGTCAGATCCCGGATGTCCTAAGAGATGTCGATACATTGGATCTGACTTCAACATGCCACAACAATATATACAAACAAAACAAACAGTGCTAAAGGTAAATAACACACATATATGTTTACCCAGTTTGGTGACAACAACATGCACTCTGGGGGCTACCAAGCCAGTGACAAAATTAACTAGATAGTATCAATTTGTAGACCACACAACAAATCCAACATTTTATAATCTACGCACTTAATCACTACCTTTTTCTTAACTTCTACCTAAGACACGCCTAGGTATGAGGCCCTCCTCAAATCCCTCTTCAATCACACTCAGTAATTGGAGAAACTCTAAACACAATAGAGAACAAAAGATGGAAGTCACTCTTCCAAGGCACACAATCCTCAATGCTTAAAAGCTTATGAGAACTGACACATAAACACTCAATGCTTAAAAGCTTATGAGCATCTGACACACAAACATCCAATGCTCAAAAGCTTATGGATGCTTGACAGAACTTGCAACTTAATAATAAGGATTCTAAAAACCCTAACAAGGCACACACGTAAGTTCCACCTAAAACTAGGTATATACCAGTCAATATATAACATTATTCTAGATTGGGTTGGGCTTCAAAAACATAGCAGTGAGGCTGCACAAAGTGTGAAAAATCTTCTCCAAGAAAATAGGTCTTCAATAATTAGTTTCCTAAAATGTCTCCATATTTAGAAACTTTGCATATCTTCGAAACTAACATAGAATCTCTGATTTGTCAATCTTGGATGCCACATGAGTTAACTAAATATTCCCTGAATATTTAGTAACTAACATATCAACTAAACCATAACTGTCAGCTGCTGCAGACACGGTGTCATATCCTCCTGGTTGGGACATCTTATTCGACATGTTGAAAACTGCAAGTTGGAACATCTTGTTCAACATGTTGCTTTCAAGTTGGTTTAACCAAAATGTATGTCAATCATAATTTCAGAGAAATAACAATGTCCCCATTTGACACATTTTGGCTAAAACAATCAAATAACCCGTGCACACAAAAACACCATAAAATATGTTTGAAAATAAATCAAACACACACATCAGAGGCACCGCATCAAAAAAACACATTAGCAAGGTTAGGATAAGAGCAGCAAAAAAAAATCAGAGACATAGTTAGTAGTTAGTTTATCTACTAACACAGTTGCAACCAATAGAAAATATAAGTTATCAACACCATGATGTCAAGACATCATGTCTGACATCTCTTCAGATCCTCCAGTCCAGAGCAGAGACTCCCCCTTAATAACTCCCCCCAACAGTAGTACAAGCACCAGCGCCCTTAATATCATATTATTCCCCCTTTTTAGCCATTATATGACATATTTAAGTAGACAATATTAGAAAATTTGAGCACCTAAAGTTTTAAGAGATAAGGTGAAAAAAGAAACTAAAAATATCTTGGGAATTTAACCCTTACAAAACCATACACTAAGATAAACAGGATCATAAGGCAGACCTAAACAAAATCACATGACCAAATGTCATGTATCAACATCTTCTTCTTCTCTAATAGCATCGTAGAAAGTTTATCAGGGGTAGCACCATCCTTAGCATCCTCATCAACAAATGCAGCACCAACAGTAATTTCTATAATTCTTCATAGATTCATATCCCAAGTCTCCTCCTTAGGTTCTCAAAATGAACTTAGGTTCTGCTTGATACCTTGCGCATTAGCCAACACCAAAAATGACAGACTCCAAGCGAGCCACATGAGCAAATGTTTCATCAAAGTCTACTCCTTCAATTTGAGTGTATCCTCGTGCAACAAGTATGGCTTTATTTCTGGTAATACCACCTTGTTTATCTGTCTTGTTCTTGTACACCCATTTTGTACCAATAAAATTTACCCCATCAGGTTTTGTCACCAAGTCCTATACTTCATTCCTCTTGAATTGACCAAGTTCATCTTGCATAACATTTATCCAGAACTCATCATTCAAGGCTTCCTTCACATTTTTTGGTTCAAACTTGGATACAAAGCACGCATTTGACACCGTTTCTCTTGATTTGGTGACTACTCCTTGTTTGGGATTTCCTACTATAAGTTCCTTAGGATGATCCTTTTGAATTCTGAGAGATTTCCCTTTATCAGCAACCTGAGGTTCTTCAACTTCATAATTGGCATTTGAGCCTGCAACATTTGTGTTGCATGTTGAGACATTTTCTTCAGGAACCACATCATCTGTATGAATAATTGTCTCAACTTCTTATGGGACATCATCTTCTCTAGTTGATTCATCAATAATCACATTTGAAGACTCCATCATCAACTTTGTTATGGAGTTGAATAATCTATATGTTTTATTGTTTGTAGAGTATCCCAAAAAAAACCCTTCATCACTTTTAGCATCCAACTCCGTTCTTGGATCACAGTCTGCCAGAATATAACACTTACTTTCAAAGACATGGAAGTATTTGACAGTTAGATTTCTTCCTCTCTATAATTCACACAGAGTAACAGAGGTACCATTTCTGATAGTAACTCTATTGTGAATATAGTAAGCAATGTTCATGGCTTCAGCCCAAAAGTAAAGGGGTAATTTCTAGGCATGAAGTATAACTCTGGAACATTCTTAAATAGTCATGTTCTTGCATTAAACCACACCATTTTGTTGAGAAGTGATGGATGAAGAAAACTCATGACTAATCCCTTCATATGCACATAATTCCTCAAACTTGTTGTTCTCAAATTCCTTCCCGTGGTCACTTTTGATTCTGAGAACACCACAATCCTTTTCTCTTTGAATCTTGTGGCATAATTCTTTGAAGACTTCAAACACTTCATATTTCTCTTTGATGAACTTCACCCAAGTGAATCTTGTGTAGTCATCAACAATAAGATATGCATAGCTCTTTCCCACAAGAATTTCAACCTGCATAGGTCTCATCAAGTCCATGTGAAGTAGCTTTAGAACTCTTAAGGTGGTAAGAAGTTAGATCTTCTTATGGGACATATTTGTCTGCTTCCCAATTTGAGATTCACCATAAATTATCCCTTCATCGATCTTTAGCTTGGGAATATCTCTAATAGCTTCTTTTGACAGGATCTTCTCCATACCTTTCAGATGTAGATGACCAAGCTTTTGATTCCATAGGTTTACTTCGTCATGTTTTTACATTAAGCATGTTGAGAGACATTTCGTTCTTGGAAAGCTCCATAGGTAGCAGTTGTCTTTTGATTTGGTTCCCTTCATAACCACTTCATCCTTATCATTTGTAATCAGGCACTCAGA